GGGAATCTAGAATTGGAAACACAGCCGGCACCAGAACCTAGGCATCCCAAGTGGTCTAACCACTGTGCTCAGCACCAGCCCCTAGAAAAACATTCTTAAACTCCTCAGTGTGGCTATTACTCTGATATATATTTTTTATTCCTAAATGTGGAGTCCAATCTTTGGGTCAATTATGTCGATTCAATGATGTAAGCAGAACATGTTCTGCATGGTGAAAAAAATGGTGGGGCCAGTGTGAGAGCCTAGTGGCTACAGTCCTCACCTTGCATGCATCAGGATCCCATATGGGCACCTTTTTGTGTTCCATTTCCCATCCAGCTGCCTGCTTGTGGCCTGGGAAAGCAGTCGAGGATGGCCAAAAGCCTGGGGAATCTGCACCCACAGGGGAGACCCAGAAGAGGCTCCTGGCTCCTGGCTTTGGATCAACTCAGCTCAGGCCATTGTGGCCACTTAAGATGGAAGATCTTTTTATCTCTCCTTCTCTATGACAAATCTGCCTTTCCAACAAAAATAAATAAATCTTTTTTTTTTAAATAAAAGCAGATGGGGAATAGCAACTTGACATTGGCAGAGGGGTACAGGGGGACCCTGAAGGGAGCCACAAGGTGGCCTGGACAAGGAGAAAGAGCTGCATGTCTGGACCAGACATGATGCTGGAAGGGCTCAGGGTCACTGTCAGAGTAAGTGTGGCCTGCCCGGGTCCCTGGCTGACCCTGATCCCAGGACTCACATTCTCTGTGTGTACTCTCTGGCTCCCTGTCGGTGGTCAGAGATATATGGGCACATGCATACCCCACACATGGAAGCGCGGAGGGGATTATGGCATATGCTGATGGCTCCTGCCCTGTTCTGCAATGCCTGCTACCTAAAGCCCTTTGGGTACTCATGAATGATTCATCTTAGATATCTTAGAATTCAGCCTGAATCTCAGATCTCTTGATGTGAACACACAGGACTGTCCATCTCACTCCCTACTCCTCCGAGGTGGGGATGGGAACGTAAGGGGACAGTTGTCATTCCTTGAAGTGGACATATTAAATAGCCATCAGGACACAGGTCGATCTTGCTTTTGATTTTTTAAACTTGGAGCTGCGGTGTTTGGCAGCAACTGAGGGTCCTTTCCTGGCAGACATCCGCATGTTTCCGTTGCGTGTATCCGATGCTAGAGATGAAGTCCATGACAAATGTGGGTTTTCTTCATTATCAGACACTTGACATTCAGACAGAATTCCCAGATGCCGGCCTCACAGAGAGTGCCTTTGTCCATACTGGAGCTCCTCCCTGCCTTCGCCACTCCCCCAGCCCATCTCCCAGACCAGGGCTTGAGGCAGTGAAGGGAAGGAGCTGGACCAGTGACCAGAGAGCACTTCTTTGAACCTCAAATCTCTGGTTGTGTGGCCTCCCTAACACAAACATACATGGGCCCAGCTTTGGGTTCTCCATTTTTGGGCAATTCATTCCTCAGTGTGTTCTGCATTCCCACATCCTGGTGTGATATTTTGCCTCCTGGCAAGCAGAAAACTGCTCCCCTAAGCTGGATGTTTGACACAAAGAGCTAGGTGGGACACAGGTTTTCAGGAGCTGGTCAGGGGACATGAAGTCACAGGTAATGCGGCAGCCATGGAGGCACCTTAAGACTTTAAGATGCCATGAAGGCTGGCAACACACTCATCACAAAAGCTGTGCTGGCATCTGGGGAAGGTCACATGTCCTTGATGCCCTGGCTGCTCCCTCCATGGCCTGAGAGTGAATACTCCAACTCTTCCCTAGGGGTTGGCTTTTAATGAAGCATTTGCCTACATCTAGACTTTCAGTATTTATAATTTCCCTCTTGTTGTATACACTCTTCTAAGCGATCCAAGGTAAGAATAAAAAAAAAAATAACAACAGCAACATTTATTACCAATCAAGTACTATTCTAAGCTTGTCTAAGTCCTCTCAACATCACAATAAAATCCCCAGTGGAGTGACTTACACAGCAGGAATGTATTTCTCACAGTTCTACAGGCTGACAAATCTCAGACCAGGATGCCAGCATGGCTGGGCTCTGGTGAGTGCTTGCTGCCTGGTTTGCTGTGTCCTCTTGAGGCTAACCGTGAGCCAGTGCACAAGCTCCCTCATATCTCTTCCCAAAGGGACACTCATCCATACCAAGCCCCACACTAGGCATCACTGAACCTGTCTCATCACCACACAGGCCTCAGCTCCTACACATAGGGATTCAACAAGTGAATTTGGTAAGTACGCAGCTTAGCCCATAGCAGGAAGAAATGACTGAAATTTTATAAATAAACAAATATACCATATGCTTAGAGAGCAATAGAAGAAAAGAAAACTAGAAGGAAGTTCAATAGAAAATATCAAACCTAAAACATTGAGGGAAAGAAAGGATGGAAATCAAGCTATTAGGGATAAAATGAAATGGCACGATGTCCATGTAAATAGAGTTTTAGAGAAAAAAGGAGGAACGTAATACATGAAGGCATCATGATTACAGTATTTCTAAATTTGACCAAAAAAAAAATCAGATCCAAGATTCTAAAAGTGCAAAAAAACCCAAGCAGGATATGGATACACACACACACACACATATAAGGGTTTAAAAATTCATGGAAATGGAGTTAAAAGATACATTTATTTTGGTACAAAAATATTTGAATTCAGTCCATACAAAGACAACAGAAAGTTCATGAAAAATTCATATTATGCAAAAATTACACATTGATTTAAATTTTTTTTGCACCAAAATAATTTTTAATTCCATCTTTAGATAACACTGAGAAGTGCCCTTGCATTATATAAACACATTAAGTAATCTAAATAGTATAATTTCCAGAAAACCAACGGAAAAAATCATAAAAATAGGCCAAAAAAAAAAGCCTCTAAAGAACTGAAGACCTTCAAAGGATTGGAAGTAAAGCTAACAGTTGAGTTCTCCTGAGAAATAATGCAACTGGGATCTCAAAGGGTTAGGTTGCCTTTGGCCATCCTTCGTTCTATATTGGGGTGCTATGGCTGCAGTCCCAGCTACTCTAATTCCAATTCAGCTGCCTGTAAATGCACATCCTGGGAGGCAGCAGGTGATGGCTTGATTAGCTGAGCCACCATCACCCATACGGGAGACCTAGCTGGAGTTCCGAGTCTTTAACATCAACCGGCTTGTGGATGTCTCTCTGTTTCTCTCTCTCTCTTCTCTTTGCTTCCCCCCTCCCCAACCCCAAAGTGAATAAAAATAAATCTTAAAAAAAAAAAATAAACGACAATAAGATCTTTTGTGTGCTGAAAGACAAGAAGTGTCAAGCAAAGTATTCTGTTTCCTGGGAAATGTCCTTTACGATGAAAGGCAGCATAAAAACATTTTCAGACAAAAGGAGAAATAATTTGAACATAACTGTACTGAATTAAATACTGAAAAGATTTCATTAGCCAAAGAAAAATGACACCAGTCAGAAGCATGGAAATAGAAGAACAACTGAAGAGCAATTGTAAGGATAAACATATGGGAGGCTCTGAGGACCTGCTGGCTGGATCAATGCCGTAAACACTGTCTTGCAGTATTTAACACAAAAAGCAGGGAGCTGGCAAGGAAGATTAAGCGCTACATTTATCTGCAAAGTGGAGAAAGTCTAATTTATATTAGGATTAAATGAGTCCAGAATTTTTTTTATTGTACTGTTTAGCCTGATCACTCAAAAGGACTAAAGGAATGTATAGTTATCAAGTTTATAGATAAGGAAAAAATGCAGTGGTACAAAACACTCAAGTTACAAGAAAGAGCATAATAAGGAGAGGGAAAATATAAAGCAAACAGAGAACAAATATAAAACAAAAAATAAGCAATATATTTAAGCACAAATATATTAGTGACTTCATTCAACATGAAAGGAAAAGTAGTAGACCCTGTTTAAAAAACGGAAAGCCAACCAGGTGCATTTTAAAAGAGGTATATCTTAAATATAAGGACACAGAAAGTCTGAAAGCAAAACATTGAGGAAAGACATTTCGGGGGTCATAAAACAAAATTTTGAATGATTAAAATAATAATAAATATGTTTTCTGAACACAAAACAGAAGAGTATGTTTATGTTGCAGACAAATGTAAACCTCGAAGATATACAACATTTGAAAATGAAGTAATATACTTCAAAACAACCCGTTAGTCAAAGAGGAAGAAATGCAATGGAAGCTATAAATAATTTGGATACAGATAACAAAACTATGAGAGATTTTAGGGTGCACTTAATGCCAGGCTTACCAAACCCATCACACCAAGTGAACAACCCAATAAAGAAATAAAGAAAAGCTGAAAATTCACACTGCAAATATTTAAAGAGCTATAAAAAAATGGCAAACCACCAACAAAGGAATTAATAGCAAGGACACAATAAGGATAAAAGCATAAATGAATAAAATAGAAAGCAAAGACAGAGAAACACAGAGGGATAAAAGCTGGTTCTCTGGAAAGGATAACCTGTGACAAAATACAATATCTCCACAGAGCTTAAGAAAAATTAAATGATAGTATAATGATGCCATTGAAGTAGCTTTACGTTAATAAAGTGGAAATTTTGAATGAAATAAAGAAATTCCTGAAAACAAAGAGATAGGCTATGACAACTCTCTGTCCATTGCAGTGACTGAATCTGCCATTCAAAACATTCCCCTATAGGAAACTCCAACTCACACGCATGCACCAGTGAACTCCCTAACCCACAGGATACTTCAGACACTAGAAAGACAGGAAGCCCCTCCCATGCGATGTTAGGAGGCCAGCATAACCCTGATCCCCAAACATGAAAATGGCTTTACAAGAAAAGAAAAGCACAGGAGAAGCATGTGGCCTGGGGTGACAGGGAGGAGAGGAACTCACATCCCTCTTCTGAAGTTGGGCCTCAGAAAACACACATTGGCTGTTGCATGACTTGGCTTAATGTCTTACGGACATTCGGGCTTATTTTCAATGCCTCCCCATGGTCTGCAAGACCCAAGCATGTCTGTACCTGGTGGAAGTCTCCCACTTGCCGCACGTAACCAGCCACCTCGGTATCAGTCTTGAAGATCTTCCAGACCTTCCTTGCCACCTTCTTGTACTCCCGGGATCCCTTCCACTCCATGGCCCTCAAGGAACGCTCTGTCAGTGACGCGGCCACGATGATGTCCAGCTGGCCACTGTAGATCAGAACCTGAAATGGTACCAGGCCATTGGTGAATGCAGGAGTCAGAAGGTAAAGCCAAAGAATTCATCCCTGAATAGGCAGGGAGGCACCTGGAGCAAAAGGGAACATGAGCTGCCCAGAGGAGTGCCCAAAGTGACCAGCCAGGCAGATGAGAAGGGTCATTTCCTTCTTGGTTGGCCACACACACCAACCTGACTGAAACTCAAGTTTTGTCTCAACTATTGCACTCTTCCAAAAGCTTGATTCCTCATAGTTATCTGCATTGCAAAGTCCTTTCTTACTCGCAAAAGCATTTGTGTTGTATCATCCTCAGGCAGCAGATTTTCTTCTGATACATGACCAGGAGGACTGGCTTTGGCTAAATATCAGTAAAATTAAGGGATAATGCACCCTAGGATTTCTGTGAAACCCGTATTTCTTTTATTCACTTTCAGGCATGGCAGAGGCTACTAAACCTTCTGTCTGCCGTTGCTGGTCCAGAAGGTCCTCTCCTGCACTGACCGCGGTGGCTGAAGCAGAGCTGTCTGAAGCAGACAGGTCGAGGCGCCTTCAGTTTGTTTACTTGCCACATGCTGCTTCTCAGATGTCCCTTCCCCAAGTCCAATAGTGCACTGAAGGTCCCTTCCACAGTGCATTGTTCCTCCCCAAACCCGCGGTTATAAAGCAGAAACCACATTAAGGCACCTCCTCCCTCTTCTACCAAATTGTAATTGGTTTGGAAAAGAATTCAGATAACACGGATGCTGATGAGGTCATAAGACCATTGAAGGCAGGATAAAAGGGAATTTCTCCTTAGGAAAATAAAGATCAATTCTTCATCCAAAGACCTATGAGCACTGGGTCAGAGTCCTCGTAATCTCAATTTGCAAACTGTATGACAGAAGTTTAAATAATTTTTTCAAGCCACATTTTAAAATCATTATTGATTCCTGCATAACTCACCGCTTGAACACAATCTACAAGTGCTTTATCTGGTCAGCAATGAAGCCCACAATGGTACCGGAAGTCTACAGGATATTGTGAAAAAGCATTTAAAATGTCCGACTGCACCACAACACCATGTCAGAAACGCTCACCACAGAATGGTAACTGAGAAAGTCAAACGTGAGGATTTCTCCAAGAAGTTAGTGGAAGCCAGAATTGAAAATAATCACTATATTTTGGTGCAAAAACTTAAATCCATGTGATTTTGTCATAACATAAATTTTTGTAAGCTTTTTGAAGATTTTCCCCATTTGTAGAATTTCAAGATATTTTTTGTGGTAAAATATCTTTAATTCCATTTTCCCATGAAATTTTCAAAGGTTCCTTATATAAGGGATGTTTTCTTAAAGATTTATTTATTTATTTTTTTATTGCAAAGTCAGACATACAGAGAGGAATATCTTCCTTCCGAGGACTCACTTCCTAAGTGACCGCAACAGCTGGTGCTATGCCGATCTGAAGCCAGGAGCCAGGAACTTCTCCAGGTCTCCCACATGGGTGCAGGTTCCCAAGTCCTTGGGCTGTCCTCTACTGCTTTCCCAGGCCACAAGCAGGGAGTTGGATGGGAAGTGGAGCTGCCTGGATTAGAACCAGTGCCAATATGGGATCCTGGTGCGTTCAAGACAAGGACTTTGGCCGCTAGGCCACCGCGCCGGGCCCTATATAAGGGATCTTAAAATGATGACTATGCATGCGTGTACAATCACATACATAGAACGCAATGCAAGGGTGGAAAACCCAGTTGATTAATTTAGATGCTAGGAACTTGGTTGGTTTCCCATTGTTTTCTGTTCTTAGGCTGTTTCTTTAATGTAACAAAGGTGAAATTCATCATTGATACTGCCTCCCTACCTCCAACAAGGAGATTTTCTTCAACATCACACTCTCTTTGATCTCTCTGGAGGCTCTGACTGGGCCTGAGTGAAGACCTTTGGTTGGATCTCAACCAAACGTAAAAGGTCTCACTACACATGTTTCCCTCCCTGCCTTCAATGGTTCGGGCTCCTTAAAAGGCTTACACATAATTAGAAAGCCCAGGACTTTTACACGCCCCAAATCCTCGAGCCGCAGTGGGACAGGATCCCGCGCAGATGAAAGAGCCCTGGGCCTCTCTTGCAGGAACATGCATCCTTTCATGTTGCTCAGTCACCACCACCATCCCCTCCGCGCTTACAAAAAACACCCAAAGGAAAAACCCTGATAGATTTAAAGCCTCTTAAAAAAAAAATCCAACTCTACTACAGCAATAAAATATTTGCATTGTTTATACAGAGAAACTGCCTCAAAGGCCTTGAGTACGTGCAGCCTATGTTAAGCCTCCTACAGCTGTTTTGGCCAATAGTATGGAAGCAATTATATCTGATCAGTACCAGCGGACAGGCCTTAAATAACTTCGCCATTCTAGGAAGGCCTGATTATAACTGATTAACAAAGATAATCATGTATAAAGCAATTTCTCTTCCAGAATTCAACGCAAAGCTGGTTATTTAGGGTGTCTATTAATTTTTCCTCTCCCTGCTGCTGCTGCTGTAGGCAGCTTGCTTTGTCTCCTGTGTCTCTCATAGTTACTTTTACTGGAATCATCACCAAATTCTGAAATCAATGTGAACTTTTTTTTTCATCCTTAACAGACAATAGCAAACATCCATAAATTAAAGAAAAACAAAGCTTATACATTACAGCACCACGAAACAAGTTGGCTGAATTGAACTGAAATGAAATGAAGCTGTTTCCCTTGTTATTTAAGAGTTGGCATAAACAAGAGCCTCGATTTTCAGGAACAAAGCAGTGGAGGCTGGCACAATCCTGCCCGAGTGATGGGTGGAGGCCTGCTCTTTGGGACAAACGGGAATCCTCCCTTTGCAAAGTAAGTGAAACATGCTGGACTTCTAAAGAGCACAGAAGTTGAATGCAACAATAAAAGAAATTCAGGTTAACAATACAGCAAAGTGACCTCAGAGCCAGCAATGTAAAGCAGGCAACAGCTTTCACTTTGATCTAAATGCCACCTTTAAGTCTGGGGAGCCCCTGTGTGGGGTGCCCCTGGGCTACATAGATGAGTAAGCCAGTTCAGGATCCTATGATCCACGGTCAGTGTGACACGCCAGGTGGGCTGTGTCATAGGTGTAATTCTGAAGCCAAGGGCTCACATTAGCTACCCACGTCCTGATAGAGTTCAGGACATGCCAGCTCACTGTGAAAGACGTGTACACACATTCACCCCACTTCTTCCCTGCTAGAGTGACCCAGTGACTTTGCTTGTCTTAGAGAGAGGCTTCCCATAACACTGGGCCTTCAGGGCCCAAAGTGGGGCAGGGCTGGGGCAAAGCCACCCCTGAGGCTTACTTGTATTTTAAGCAACAAGGTCTAAAGACAAAGGGGAAAAGACAGATGAAGGCAGTTTTTATCACCACTTCTCTGGTCAACAGGGATTCAAAAGGGAGCAAAGAGAGGCAGGCAGGTTAAGATACCACTGGGACTGTCCCACATTGGAGTGCCTGAGCTTGCATTCCATAGTGCAATGCCTAGCTTTGAGTCCCAGCTTCACTTCCAATTCCAGATTTCTGCTGCTTCAGGCCGTGGAAGGCAGCAGATGATGATTCAAGGAGCTGCATGCCTGCAACCCACATGGGACACCTGGATCTCGGCACGCTCTAGCTCCCAGCTGTGGCAGGCATGTTGGCAGTGAGCAAGCAGATGGGAGATCTTCACCTCTCTGTCCCTGTCTGACTTCTCCTGTGAGGGTCACCTGTAGGCCTGCGTTAAGGAGCAAAGGCACGCCTTTCAGAGATTCAAGGACCTGGCTGCTGAAACTGGAACTGCTGGAATTGATGGTTATGATGACTTGGAAACATGCTTAACTTCTGAAAAAAACAATTCAATGAAAAGTTATGCTTCTATGTGCTTGGATTCTATAATTACTCTATTTTGAAAACCTTATATCAATCTTGGGACAATAATTTATCAAAACATCAGCAGTTAAGACAGCTGAGGAATGGCTGGTTTGTATCAGCTTCCTAATTTTCTAATTTTTTGGTAAATGTGATTAGAATACTTATATATTCTAATACATAGAAAAAATAACAATGTATAATATCAGTAGGAGTTTGGGCAGCTCAACCTGGTAAAAGAGAAATCTTTGGGAAGAATAATCCTAAATAAATAAAATGCTATCAGTTCTCAATTTTTCATGAAAAATTAGCTTCACCTTAACTTGTAGAGAATCTTAAAAGGCTTGCTCCAATATGGCCCTGAGTGATTTGAATTACAAGTAGTCTTTTTGCCTCTTTGTCAAAAGGCAAAGCCAGGCATTTTTATTATTACTATTTTTAACTTTGCAGAGTACATTCATGTTCAAGAGGTCTTCAAAACGTTCCTGAAAAATCTACGCACGGGTTTCAATTTTTTTCTTTATGCCAAAATAAAGTGACTTTTTCATTCCATTCTCCTTGGACTTTGTGAAGTATACTCATACATAATCTGGCTTTATTCTTAACTCCTTCACCAGGAAAGGTTGGCAAGTTTCACATTACCAGCTTCCATTGAACTGCTAAGAAAATGGTGGTACTAAGAGGTCCCAGTGGGAGACTTTAGATCCTGGAAATCCTCAATTTCTACCTAAAACTCCTTAAGAAAGGAGGTAAATCCCTTCAAACCAACAAACATTTATCAACTCCCCACAGATGTTAATGTTAAATGGCTATCAAAATGCCTCTGGAAACAGCTGGGTGAGTGTGAGACGGTTTAGAAGCAAGCTTCATCTGTCTGTCCAAGTCCAGTAGCACCTGTTGGTCATTTCTCACTCTGTGGAAGGTGGAGGAGGTGTGCAAGGGGATCACTCAGTGACAGGTGTCTCACTTCTGCTGCAGGAAGTGGCCTTGATTACGCAGCTGTGGCATGACCTTCAGCCGTTGGGAGCACAGGGACTCTCCTGCATGTGTGTCTCCAGCCCAGGACTGGACAGCAAAAAGTCTATTGACAATTACAGCATGGAAATTCCACTCTTTAAAGGTTTTGTGTGA